ATATATATATATACCTTTCAGAAGTGATGTTCTCTAACTTCAATGAATGATAGACCAAGGCTGGGGGATATTAAAATATTGAATAAGAGATGTAATGCCTGGAGATATATAAATACAAGCCAGGGCTGAGATGCAGCAAAATGATGAAGAAAGAAATATAGAGGAGAGAGAGAAATAGGACATCCAATTATATTAGGCAGTTTGGAATGGCAAACTCTAAAAAATAAGATATATGGGATTGCAACTGAAAGGTTTACATAACTAGCATGACTGTTAGGCTCTTGACTAGTACTAATTTAGGAGCATGGTTAATTAAAATTGATGTGCAAACTGTTACTACCTCTATGGATATTATGGACAAGGAAAACTTCAGGTTCATTTTCCCTTTTTGTTTTCTTTTCAGAAAATAACCGACAATAGCAACTTCCTTCAGAATTAATTACTGTGTCAAAGACTTTTGCACTCTGAGTATATTTGTTAAGATGAAATGTTCTTTTTGAAGTTGTATACGAAACGAACCTGCTAGTAGCAATCTTCCTTTAATTAGAAAGCCTTAATAATCCAGCACTGTTTCTATGCTGCATACATAAAAAGGAGTATTGTAAGAGAATATGACTAATATGTAGCCATCCAAGATGCTTTATAAATAACATAGTTCATGGTTTAAAACATCATGAAAGTATGTTAACAATATTCTTAAAGAGAAACCAAGATAGAATTTTTAGATCAGAAATTCCTATTTACATCAGGTATATTTTAAAATATGGATGCCAAGCTTACTTCCCAGACCAACTGAAACTAATTCCCTGGAGCTGGGGCCCAGGAAGTTTTAAGAGCTCCCAGGTGATCTGAACAGGCACCTAAAGGTTTAGAATCTCTGAGGTACACAATGTGACTTGACTACCATATGTTTACTACTAAGAAGCCTGGTTTACTGCAAGTTTAGCCAGCTACAGATTTGAAAGTAAATCTTGCATAACTGAGGCAGATTTTATGTAATAACACTAAAGGCACCATCAAGGATTGACTGAATTTGTCACTGTTGTAGGAAAAAAGAGTAAAAATAAAGAATAAATCAAAACTGCTGTGTGTTTCACTTGTGTTGTGCCCACATAAATAAGGCCCACACACATCTAACACACATAGTGCACAAGGGAAACTAGTATGCGAGAAGGATGTGTGGCTTTTAAAAAAATCGTACAGTGTGTGCCTTATTTGCATAAAAACAGTGATGGAGAGTTAAGATAGAATCATTCAATATCAGTATCTTTCCAAATACTGAGTAACTATCAATCAGTTTCAAATTTCAATTTTGTAAATTAGCCATAGAATTGCGTGCTATTTTGACTGAAGTATGGGCATTTTTTTCGATTTACCAAAGTATTCTGCTGAAAAATACTTTTCTCTAAACAGTTTTTGTTTCATTACAATATTTTTACAAGCTGTTTAAGAGAAAAGATAATACAAGGAAATAGAAGTAACATATGTTGTTGTTGTTGTTAAGTGTCATCGAGTCGTTTCGACTCATAGCGACCCCATGCACAGCAGAACGAAACACTGCCTGAGCCCGC